TCTGGTAAAAAGAATTCAACATTTTTCTTACATTTCACTCCTATTAATTACAGTAATAAGTAGAAAACAAATTGAAATTATTACTTGTTACGTGCACGTTGAAGAAATATTCATTTGGAAAACATTTTACACAAACCTGTGGACTACTTAATCAATGACTTTTGTATAATTATATACTTTGGGGAATGAAAATTACCTTAAAATAAGGAAATAGAAACTGATAATTTCCTGGATAGTGATGGCGCGTCCATTAAATTCTTCGTTGCCGGTAGTACATCTCTCGAGCCTTAAGTTATTCAAGTGATGTTTTATGCATCATACGTTACCATGGTACACATTATATGATTATTGCGATTACGATATGAAACATTGTATTCGAAGTCCTCTGAATTCATTAGTCGAAGTCAGTTACCATCTTGATATGTAAATCAAACCTTTTTTCAATTGAAATGTTGCTTCAGCCGGATTATTTAATTAGATACACCGCGTAAGTATAAAATTACCTACAGGAAAATCACTTTTAATTTTGTTGCATGATAAATAATCATTTAACGCAGAGGCCATCAACTGAAGCGCAAGAAGAAAAAGAGGCAAATACAAAAACTGTCCTACCGTGTTATTACTAGACTGCGGATCTTTATGCAAAATAAAAGTTGTTTGCGTCGATTGCAAGATGCAGAAACTTGGCGAACATTTATTTTCTTTCTCAATAATTCCAATGAGTTGAACGTAACAGTATCGTTAAATTCTTTAAACGTCTTCATCTTTTTGAATTTGATTTACTCATTTTTACCATAAACGTATAAAATTGGTAATAACTTATTACGAGGTGTGCATGTGCATGATCAAAATTATAATACAAAATTATAATAAATTATAATAACTATAAGATAAATTTAATAATAATAAATATAATAATTACAATTTAATAATAAATATATTGTTTTATGTAGATAATTAACATTAATATTAAATTAATTTTATCTGATAAAATGAGCGAAATAATCTTAACATTTTGTAAAGCAAATTACGGTAAATAGTAGTAAATACAATAGTAGTGGTAGCAGAAGTAAGTAATGGTAAATAGGGCAGATAATAAAATAATTTGCATATGTTGCCGTCCTTAGTTGAAACGATCTATCTACCAATTTGCCACTCTTTAGGATATTTTTAAATATTTCAAACATCGCGTGCCTTTTACCTTTTAAGCAAAGCTAGAATATTGCAAATCGTAATAAATCGAATATTGCAAATCGTAATATTGCAAATCTAGAATATCCAGATGCAAATTCATTTATTCGCTTTCACTTAATTCA